GTGGGTGAAAAAAGGAGAGGGAAAGGCACAGGGTGGGTGTGCCCCCTGGAGGGAGAGCCCTAGGTCCTCAGTCCTAATGGTTTTAAGCATGGAGATCTTAGGGGAGGTCCCAGGGAAAGATATTATAATGTTCAGCAGTTTTCCAGGTGTGTCCTTTCAGGGTTGTCCTGTCCACTGATTGATTGGTCAGCACCAGGGTGGGGGCCATCATTCAATGCAGCTGGTCCTGAGGTCAGCAATGGGTTGTTTTGCTGCTCTTTTTGGCCTGGAGCTGAAATACAACTGAGGCCTAGATATTAGCTCTAGGGAAGAAAGGTTAGGGGGTCCAAACCTCATGACCAGTGATATGCTAGGGGAAGAAAGGCCTCCCTGGGGGTGAGGTCCCACCCTACAATTATCCTTTGCTAGGCATCCAGGGCTTTCCATCCTGGTGACTTTTTGTACCTGGCCATTGTCCTTGCTCTGTACATGTCTAACTGCCTATCACAATTCAAGTATAAGAAGCATTGTTACTCTATTGTACTGCTTTGGCTGAAGTATTGGAGGAGGGAAAGTCTAGCAACTAGGACACTGAGTGGCTTGAAGATTAGGAAAGAGAGTGGGGAAGGGACAGGGTCCACAGACATTTAAAGAATGTCTGCCATTTAAGCTCACGCATTCCTGCCCCAGGCCTGTGGGATTCCTGCATATAAATCTACCGAGAATAGGAAGCCCTATGCACATTAACATAAATCTGCATTGCTTACTATTAGTTTTGCCGGGGCATTTTGAGTAAAGCTGGTCAATAGGAGGATAATCAAATTAGCCAATATGCAACTCCATCTCCAGCCTGCATCTGGGGCTTGCAGACAGGAAAGGGCTTTCTGACCAGCAGAAGCACACACTCTCCTGGAGGGTGGTCTATAGCACTGCTGTAGGGAAGCTTGAGAGAGCAGCTGAATTTTTTTGCAAATGCCAGCTTAGTTGTAAGGTGGTGTAGCCTGAAGTCGTCCTTCAACAGATACAGATACTTGGCAAGGAATGTGCCATTTGACCACTTTCCTTTTTATTCCTTTGTCAGATTCAAGAGTTTATGACTCTAGTATGAAACTGCACTGGAGTTTACAATGTCACTCTTTTTTTTTTTTTTTTTAAATATATCTTTATTGATTTCAGAGACAGGAAAGGAGAGGGAGAGAGAGAGATAGAGAAACATCAATGATGAGAGAGTCATTGATCGGCTGCCTCCTGCACACCCCCTACTGGGGATCGAGCCCGCAACCCAGGCATGTGCCCTGACTGGGAATCGAACCGTGATCTCCTGGATCACAGGCCGATGTTCAACTGCTGAGCAACATCGGTCGGGCCAAAATGAAATGTATTTTAATAAACACTGCCTTTATAATTATTCAAACTGTGTGTGTATAAATTGTCCTGTATTTAAGGACAATTTTGCATTTGCTCACTGAGTGGAGAATGTGCTAGGCCCCAAGATATATAGGTAAATAAGACAGAACAAAAGGATCTGAATTCAAGAAGTTGACAGTCTAAAATAAAGTAAACCCCCCCACAAACAACAAAATAAAAAAACAAAGCAAAACAAAACAAAAAAGAAGTTGACAATCTAATGGGAAGATAGACATATAAAATAACAAACAACAAAACATTTTGGACCAGCATAGAGATTATATACATATATATATCTTTCTCAGCATTTCCAGTAAGAGTCATTTGCTCCATTCTCTGTGCTGGTCCAAAATGTTTATTATTATTATTATTATTATTATTATTATTATTATTATTATATATAACTTATTTTAAAATATTTTATTTAAAAATATTTATTTATTTATATACATATATTTTTAACTTTTTATTATGGAAAGTTCAAACATGCAAAAGTAGAAGGAATGGGAAAATAATCTAATTCTTTCCCCTCCCCCAAATTCCCATGTACTGATCCATCAGATGCAACTGTTAATAACCTGTGGCACCAGTCTTCTTTCACCTCGTGACCACCTACTTACCCCTTCTCCTACAGAAGTATTTTGAAGCACATGCCAGTAATTATAACATTTTGTGGAAAAGTGATGTTTCTTTGAGGTTTTGAAGGATGCCTAGGAGTTCACTGCACTGAAAAGAGAATAGGGAGCCTTCAAGTGGAGGGACTGGCCTTAGCACCCCCAGGGAGGCAGGAAAGTGGAAGTCATAGTCCACATGGGGTCTGGCTTGAGGGAAGAATTTTACAGATATTTGTGGGAAATAAGGTTGAAAGGAGAGTTAAGCTAGAATGTAAGTTTTATGAGGGCAAGACCATACTTGCATTTTTCATCCTTGGATGAAGTCCCTTGGATCCCCAAGTGCCTGGTGGAGAGTAGAGCTCAAAGGCTGTGGAAATAATAAATAAGTGAAGGTGGGGGTAAACCATGGCAACCTTAGCATGCTAGGGTCTTGTACTTTATTTGGGGGCTATTGAAGCAGTTTATTATAATTTATTGGAGAGGGGGATTGTTCGTGATTAAATGGTATTTGTGGAAGATGGACTTAAACAGAAATAAATATATTATGTCATAAGTTCGCCAACTTCCACGTGGGGATTGGTCCTGAAGGGCTTCAGCAACAACCATCTGATCTAATGCAGCCCTCACAGCTGAGCCTGCAGAATCACGAACCTCACCCAAACATTTTTCAAACTTTTAAAGTCATGATAACTTCTGACTTTTAAAAACCTATTTCATAGCATCAACCTCAGGATAAAATAGTGAAATAAAACACAAAAAATATTTTAAAGTACTGTATCAATGTAACACACAGCAATATTTCCACAAGCTATTTTAATGTATAAACTATGATTGCTTTGTATAATTTGATTTCCTATTACTTCAAGGGAGCCAGGATAACATATCCTCCAAGCAGGCCCTCCAGGGATTGTGGAGAGGGGGCTTCCAGAGGTGTCCCCAGCCTGTTCTCGGCTTGCAGGTTGGAGTCTGATTTCTCTGTGCTCAGCCCGCTTCATAGCAATTTGAGGTTGTGTAAGAGAGCAGGGTACAAAGTGCGCAGGTAATGCTACAGTTTGCGTTCATTTGGTCTGTTACACATTTTATCTGGAAATTGCTTAGTCAGTGGAATGAGGGTAAATTGGAAGATGAGTGAACGAGTGAGTGATTGAGTGAGGGGAGGCTGAGCAGAGGTGGAAAAGGGGTGGGACTAGCAGTGTTTAGATTGCCAAGGATTGTGCACTGAGGTCAAAAGTGGCTGTGA